CCTAAGCCCTAAACCCCTAAAGCCTGTTTCTGAGCCTTCCTGAGCCGTAGACACTTGATCCCCCAACCCCCGAACAGAAATCTTCTAAGCCCTGGTCTGGGTTTTTGGGGTGTTAGTAGGGGCCTCAGCACCGAACCCCTAAAAAAAGGGGCCGTTTTGGGGTTTAGGGTTTAGGGGTTTTGGGGTTTAGAGTTTGGGTTTAGTGTTTTGGGTTTTGGGGTTTTGGGTTTAGGGTTCAGGGGCCTAAATGATTACCTATACTATTTTTTGGAGGGGTGTCCTTATTGTAGCTATGGTACAATCTACCCCAAAAGCCACATTCTAATTATTCAGGCCCCTACCTTATGTGAGTGCAGGCCACCAAGGTGTGCAAGCAGGGGACTGTTCGATTGAGAGATGTAGGAAATACTTAGAGGCCCAGAAAACTTAGTAAGTCGGTCATAATTAGGGTTATAATTGGGTTAACTCCAGTTAGGTTACTTCTAACTCTACTTACAACCTACTTACTAAGTCCCCTGGGCCTCCAAGTAGGTAGCCTTTGCATCGCCACGGATTCTGCATCCAAATTCGTATTCGCCATGCTCCAGGAGGAAGACAAAACTCTCTATCTGATCTGCTTGAGAGATCAAGACTTAAGAACTCAAGTTCCCGCTTTGAGGTCGAAGGATTTGAGGGTTTAGGGGTTTAGGGTTTAGGGGTTTAGGGTTTAGGGGTTTAGGGTTTAAGCTCATGTTTGAAAAAACACGAGGTTAAAACACATGCAAGATATCATGTAAATGACTGCCTGAAACCTGAAGCTCTGTAAAGAAAAGCAGTTGCTCAGTACCCCTCAATCAGAATCACTGAAGTTTAGAGAGGGATTCTTAACACAGGTTCAAGCACATTCCTAAATTAGGGAATATGGGTGATGTAGAACTCGTGGCGCATCAGGCCTTCATGCCTGCGCTAGATCCCGGATGAACATACCCAGCTTTTGAAGCTCCGCCGTATTGAGATGCTTGTTGAAACCCTTCTGCTGTAGACATGAATTTGTATCAGGGGTTGCATTAATGAACATATCCTAAAACATCACCTGCACGTGGGGCTTTAAGTTGGTGTGGCCATATCTCTTCTGACTAGTAGTGTAGTCAGAGATGTTTCATGTCGCCGAACATGTCCCGCCTGGAGTGTGCTTCATTTGCCGTGTTCGCATCTTTTGCCCAAATTCGACCGGAAGTTCATGAGAAAGCTCTGCATCTGTGAACCTGAGTAAGGGGTTGGGCCGTCCTGGCTCATTCCCTTTCTACTCCGCATGGTTCTGAGCAGTCTACTGATATTTAGGTTGAAGCGGAGCTAGCCACGAATCTCCAACTTCATTGCCAGTATTCTGGGTATACGATTGTCTGATGCCTGGGTAGTCATGAAGGAGCCTGATTTCATGGCTGTGTGACTCTGGTAATCCCCGCATTGACATGGCTTAAAGTCGGTTACTTTGAACCGCCAACCCTGAAACCCTAAACCCCCAGTCTTGTTTCACTTCCTGCAAGTTGCTTCGTCCGGTTGACGAAGTAAGATCGACCAAGGCGGAACAGTTTCATTTTGAGTCATTTTTGGAGTTGCCCCCTTCACTGCTAGACTCCTCCAACTCTAGGGTTCTTCTTGGGGATCTAAACCTGTGACCCCCGAAGCCCGATCCTTCCAAGCCCCTGCATTGAGAGGTATGAAACAACAAACCTAAATCATAGCGTCTCGTGGAAGTCGTTGTGCGTGTGTGCGCGCGTGGACAGGAAGGGGGAACCGGCACTGCTGCCACTACTGCTGCTACGCGGGGAGGGTTTCACTCGCATCTTGCTGAGGAAATACACATCTTTCAGCCTCCACATTGGGGGTTACGCCGTCGGGGCCCGGCCTGGCATACATCCAAACATCAACCATTGGGGGCTTTAGAATTTGGTTTAGAGCTACGGGTTCTCGGTTGGGGGTCTTTCCAAAAATGCCAGGTCTCGTCGCCGTGCCCGGAAACACCTTCGGAAAGACGGTTTGCCTGAAGCAGGTGGACCTCGACCTGCCCCTGCTCAAGTCCCGGCTAGACAGCTTCGAGGAGAAGGTTGCCTCCATGCACGCCCTGCTGAGAAGCAAGGGTCGTGCTCAGACTGCCGAAGTCAAGCGACTGCGAATGTGGTTATGCACTACATGGCCCGGCTGGCGACGAAGCTGTTCTGCTGGCGCAGATGCAGATCCGAGGAGATTCGGAAGGCCGTCGTCAACATCGACATCCGCCAGGAGCAGCACGGCAGCAACACCCAGGTGGTCTTCGACCCTGTTCACTTCATAACCAAGTGGAGGACTCGGGTGGAGTTGGTGCTTTCGAATTGTCGGTGGGTTGTTTCGAATTGGGCGAGAGCCGAGGATAAGAGACGCCCACTGACAGGAATTTTGCAAACCCTGAACAATAGGCCCTCAACCCTCTCCAAAATCCCAGTCCGACCATACCTAAACACTAAGCCATAACCGCTGAGAACTAAATCCTTGACATCCAGGTTTTTGTGACGATGCCCGCACCGTACACTGTGCCGAAGAAGCATGCAACGTGTGCCACATGCAACAAGCCGACAGAGGCGCGACTCAAATTCTGTGGACGTTGCGGCAGCCCGAACGAGGCTTCAGTGCTGAAGTTGCGGCTGTCAGCCGTGGCACCCGTGGTGGTGGCATGGTTTACAAAGCACCTCCGCATTTCGATGTGGAGGCCCACCTAGAGAAGCTCGCTCGAGCGGCATACTAAGCATAAGTTCGTGAGTGATCTTCTTAATGAATTGCGGAAATGCAGGCGCTTGCATGATGAGGCAGCATCGGCCGTGCCAGCTCCGACAGCCGAACCGGACCTGCAGTGCAGTCAGCACCGGTCCATTCAGTTGCGGCCGATCCGTCAGTGGCACTAGCGGACCGCAGCGATTACGATGACGAGGAGTTAGACCTGGACAGCAGGGCTGGAATCCGACAGTTGATCGAAACCTTGGTCCTTCAGCCCGGTCTTACAGCATGTCGATGTTTGGACCTTCGACCATGCCCTGGACATGTTCATAGACTACCTGCAGAAAGGGAAGCCACGTGGAACAGGCTTGGGGGTCCACTTCAGGTTTTGTTCCGATGACAAGGGGGATTTCTTCACCAGCAAATCTCGCCGCGACTGGCTCCGTGCTTGGTCCAAAAGCGCAAGCCAGCGCTACATCCGCAACGCGGACTTGCTGCGAAAGGCGAAGAAGTGAGTGGAGAAAAACGTGCCACCAGTCACGTTTCGATTTCCTAAAGGCTAGACTATACATAAGCCCCAGAACATTAACCGCACACCTTAAACCCTGAAACCCCAGCCCTGAATGTTGAAAACTCCGCTTGAAACCCGCAGTGCTCTTGCTTCAGAAGGGCGTGTGTCAACGGGGCTTCCCATGTTTTCGCATGTTATGATCTACGAAAGGCTTGCTGCTTGCCAGCGCGTGGGTCTTACTTCTCCTGTTTTGAGGCTTCGCCCGAACAGGCTTGCAACACCGCATGTCATTCCCCGGATAAGCACATTCTGTGCAACGACATCGCCGCGACTTCATTTTATGCAACGTGGCCCTGCAGCCCCGCGACTCGCTGCCGCGACATAAGTTTAGCCCGTGTATGGAGCCCCCTCGATAGAACCGATTCGCCTCCACGTTGCGAGCTACGGTGTGGCTTGCTTTGTGTTGTGTTAAAGTTCACAGCTTGGGGTTCAGGGTTTTAAGGCTTGTAAGAACAAAGATGTAGTCCACTTCTCCGAGTCTCGTTCACAGATAGCAGGCCGACTTAGCTAAGACCGTCACCCTGTGCATAGCGCGCACTACGCGCCTCGACTTTCGCTTGCTGCATCTCAGCAAAGGCTCTCTCTGGGGAACCTATGTTTCACATGCTGCGTAGGCGGACGTTGGGGTGTTAAGTCGCATTGGCTGTAAGATGGTTTGGGTTTTGGATTTTGGGCTGTAGGGTTTTCGGGTGTAGGGTTTAGGGCCTTTCCGTTTGAGTCTTTATCGGGTGTGCCTCTTTGTTGCTTCGATAAGACGTAACAGTTCGATCAGGTTGTTTCCGCGGCCTGGCCGGAATTGGAGGTCTGAACAGCGAGTAATATCGTCCCCTGGCAGTCCTTCTGATAAACACACGAGACATTATTGTGAAAACCCACTTATCGTTAAGGCCCTTCTGCAAAGACCCTATTAAAACCCTATAAAAACTTGTTCGCAGTATAAAGGCCCCTACCTTAGGCGGACCCGACACCTCGATGTCCCTTGAACCCAAAACCCCTAAACCCTACACCTCATGGCCGTGTTCCTTCAAGGCGCGTGCATAGCATTGTAGGCAGGTTTTTCCTTAGGGCCGACCGACGACGATGACGCAGTCAATGAAGCTTGGCTAAATTGTTGTGCAGGGCTCAGGTTTTAGGGTTTAGGATTTGGTTTTTTGGCACAATCTCCTGTGATTTGCTAAGCCTCAAAACTGCAAGCTTTTAGCTTTAA